TCATCCAGGATGGCACATCAATGCAAGCGGTGGCAAGAAAGTTTGCAGTGTCTATCAGCGTAGTGTCCAGAGCATGGAGGCGCAACCAGGAGACAGGCCAGTACATCAGGAGATGTGGAGGAGGCCGTAGGAGGGCTACAACCCAGCAGCAGGACCGCTACCTCCGCCTTTGTGCAAGGAGGAACAGGAGGCGCACTGCCAGAGCCCTGCAAAATGACCTCCAGCAGGCCACAAATGTGCATGTGTCTGCTCAAACGGTCATAAACAGACTCCATGAGGGTGGTATGAGAGCACGAAAGTCCACAGGTGGGGGTTGCGCTTACAGCCCAACACCGTGCAGGACGTTTGGCATTTGCCAAAGAACACCATGATTGGCAAATTCGCCACTGGCGCCCTGTGCTCTTCACAGATGAAAGCAGGTTCACACTGAGCACATGTGACAGACGTGACAGAGTCTGGAGACACCGTGGAGAACGTTCTGCTGCCTGGGACATCCTCCAGCATGACCGGTTTGGCAGTGGGTCAGTAATGGTGTGGGGTGGCATTTCTTTGGGGGGCTGCACAGCCCTCCATGTGCTCGCCAGAGGTACCCTGACTGCCATTAGGTACCAAGATGAGATCCTCAGACCCCTCGTGAGACCATATGCTAGTGCGGTTGGCCCTGGGTTACTCCTAATGCAAGACAATGATAGACCTCATGTGGCTGGAGTGTGTCAGCAGTTCCAGCAAGACGAAGGCATTGGACTGGCCCACCCGTTCTCCAGACATGAATACAATTGATCACATCTGGGACATCATGTCTCGCTCCATCCACCAACATAACGTTGCACCACAGACTGTCCAGGAGTTGGCAGATGCTTTAGTCCAGGTCTGGGAGGAGATCCCTCAGGAGACCATCTGCCACCTCATCAAGAGCATGCACAGGCATTGTAGGGAGGTCATACAGGCACATGGAGGCCACACACACTACTGAGCCTCATTTTGACTTGTTTTTAGGACATTACATCAAAGTTGGATCAGCCTGTAGTGTGTTTTTCCACTTTAATTTTGAGTGTGACTCCAAAGCCAGACCTCCATGGGTTGAAAAATTTGATTTCCATTTTTTAATTGTTGTGTGATTTTGTTGTCAGTACATTCAACTATGTAAAGAACAAAGTATTTCAGAAGAATATTTAATTCATTCAGATCTAGCATGTGTTATTTTTGTGTTACCTTTATTTTTTTAAGCAGTATATATATATATATATATATATATATATATACCAATATAGTTGTGGTGGAGAAAAAAGTGTGGATGAAAACCCCTTCAACCTGAAGTAAGTGGATAGTTAATACATTGCTAAACACAAATACACACACCAGTCAAGCCATAACACTTGCTTTCCCCACAGAAATCTCACTTTAACAGTGCTCTCACTACTGCAAGGGATTCTGAGTAGGCATATGCAAATGAGCTCAACAAAGAACTACATTTTTGCCTCAATTCCACTTTATACATGGATTCCTTGGAGAATGTGTTTGCTGCATACCACAGCTTTGAAACAACTCAGGAAGAGGAGCAAAGCCAGCGAACCACTCACTGACAGCTGTTAATGCTACTCATCAGCATGAGGTTGGTTACTGGCTTACTTGCTATATCAAAAGTTCTGTTCTTTTTAGGGGGTCACATCACTTCAAAATAATAATATCTTTGAAATAAGGGATAAGGGCTTCAGTTGCATTTGCTATGTCTTTTGCTTTGGCTAAATGTTCTTCCTTTTCTTTAGTCAATAATATAAACACTAGAGATTGGTGGGGGAAATGACAAGGCTTGACACCTGTAGCTTTCCCTGGTGTCAAGGTTTGTCAGGTGTAGGATAAATACTAGTACCTATTTTGTCTCAATATATACCGTATATACTCGAGTATAAGTCGACCCGAATATAAGTCGAGACACCTAATTTTACCCCCAAAACTGGGAAAACTTATTGACTCGAGTATAAGCCTAGGGTAGGAAATGCAGCAGCTACTGGTAAATTTCTAAATAAAATTAGATCCCCAAAGAATTATATTAATTGAATATTTATTTACAGTGTGTGTATATAATGAATGCAGTGTGTGTGTGTATGAATGCAGTGTGTGTGTGTGTGTGTATGAGTGCAGTGTGTGTATGAATGCAGTGTGTGTGTGTGTGTATGAATGCAGTGTGTGTGTGTGTATGAGTGCAGTGTGTGTATGAATGCAGTGTGTGTGTGTGATGCAGAGTGTGTTTGTGTATGTGATGCAGAGCCTTGGTGGGGGGTGGGCATTTTTATTATTTTTTTTAAAATTATTATTATTTTAATATTTTTTTTATATTATTAATATTTTTATTTTATTTTGTATTATTTAAATTTTTATTTATATTTTTTCGTCCCCCCCTCCCTGCTTGATACATGGCAGTGAGGGGGGCTCTCACTCCCTGGTGGTCTGGTGGCATGGGCTGTGTAGGAGGGGGGCTGGCAGCAAGCTGTAACTTACCTTTCCTGCAGCTCCTGTCAGCTCCCTTCTTTCTCCTGCGTTCCGGTCAGCTCCCCTGTCAGCTCCCACTGCAAGTCTCGCGGTGTGAGTGCCGCATGGAGAGTTGCCATGTTACCTCGCGGCTCTCGCAAGACTTGCATTAGGGCCGACAGGGGAGCTGACCAGAACGCAGGAGAGCTAAGGGAGCTGACAGGAGCTGCAGGAAAGGTAAGTTACAGCTCTCTGCCAGCCCCCAACAGGACCGCCGGGCTCAATACAAGTTATGGCAATGTAAGTTGCCATAATACAGACATTGACTCGAGTATAAGACGACTGGGGGTTTTTCAGCACAAAAAATGTGCCAAAAAACTTGTCTTATACTCGAGTATATACGGTACTTTGACTGGGTTGGAATTTCAGTCAAATGTGTCTTGTTACTTTATATTATAAAATAAATTTGGGCATGTAGAAATGTCTGGAATTTAATATACATGTATATAGTATGTCTTTTGTATTTATTGCTCACAGCAGCATCCATACAAAGTATTCATGTTAAGATAAGTACATACTTTCTTGTTTTATATTTTAATATAAAAGTTTACCAAGCTGAAATTTTAACACACCTATTATATATGAATATATCCCATAAACAAATTGGCATAATCAAGGGCAAACTTAGTACCCATTGCTGTACATAAAATTGCAAGATCTGTCATTTCAGATTGCAGCCTTTTAAAGCTTTGTACAGGTTATTTTTAGGCTCTATGTAACAAACTAGATAACAAAATTAACCTGTTCAGGTTTCATTTTCTTGTGATTTCTTTTTAGGATTAATGTGACAACAAAGATAACAAACTAACTAGTCAATGTTGTGTATTTCATTGAGTTTAAAAAATAAAAAATCTAAATATGGAGGCAAAGAATGAGGCCATCATTTATCCTAATTGTGTACTCATTCAATATGGTATACAACCATCTCCTTCTAAGCCATCAGGTACTGTCAGCATTTAGAAAACAAGCAGTAACCAACAGCAATATTGGCAAAAAAATAAATGACTCAATTACTCAGTAAGTTTAACCGCTTATTAGAATTGCACAATTATCCTGATTTGAATAATGATATTTCTGATAGCAGGATATATGTCATGTCAGCTGACCTAAAAAATGTTCCTTTGGTAATTGATGCCAATTTGCAAACTGCCAACTGCCTGTGTGCAGGGCCCTTTAGAAACAAAAGGGAAGTATCATATAGCGAGTCTAAAGTGTATATTAGCAAAGTTAGAGTTGATTTTTGAATGGGCCATCCAGTATATGCAATGTGGATATACAATAGTGGAAGGAAGTCAGAGTCATCTAAAACAATGTGACTACTGGGAAAGGTACTAGTGCACTCGTGGTACCATAACCACTACTGTGTGCTGTAGTGTGTATGGTGCTTGGAGTGTTCCTTTAAGTTCTATAATTTGTGGAATAGCCACTTCCCAACTGGTGGTTGTCCTCTTAGTATGATTTTATCTTGCAGACAGTAGTTCATGATGATCTGTACCAACCCATTTGCCAGCAAAGAGCTTAAGATACATTTAGTTATTAGTAAAGCACAGATAGATACAAGTAACTATGTTGAGGTCTCAAAAACAGTTTTCTGATCCAGAGGGAAAGGTTGTTTCTCATTTTACCATGTTTAAATTATGGATTTTTATGGATGGGTTTTAAAAAGCAGAGAGAATGATTTTCATGAAAGAATCATGAATTCTCAAAACTTACATCACCTCCCTTGTGCGCTCTGCTCTAAACAAGCTCCTCATCTTCCTTAGTACACTCAATCTCTTTCTGAAGCGACATAAAGTTTTTTAATACGTTTTTAGAGACAAACACTCCTGCTTCTGCCATTCTTCCATATCTATTTACTTAATTTAGCTTTGAGCATATTAGTTATAGTCACTGGTGCCCTGTTTGAATGTATTGGTGGATTTTCTGTTGCTTACTTGGCCAGACTGGAAAATAAAATGTGGCCTGGGCATTTTTTATTCACAGCAGCCCAGTGTGAGTGGATGGGACCACTGGCCCCAACTGGCCCGTGAAGGCCCATCAATACCTTTTATTACACGTGAGTTTACAGAGGAAGAGGTTCTATTTCAACTGTCAAAATTAAAGACAAATAAGTCAATGGGACCTGATGGAATACACCCAAAGCTATTAAAAGAGCTTAGTGGTGCACTAGCAAAACCATTAACAGATTTATTTAACCAATCATTGTTAACAGGAGTAATCCCTGAAGATTGGAAGTTAGCGAATGTTGTGCCCATTTACAAGAAAGGGAATAGGGAGGAGTCGAGCAACTATAGGCCAGTAAGCCTTACTTCAGTAGTGGGGAAAGTGATGGAAACCATGTTAAAGGATAGGATTGATGAACATTAGTGATGTCCCGAACGGTTCGCCAGGGATGGCGAACATATGCGCTGTTCGGTCCGCCCCCTCTTCGTCATCATTGAGTAAACTTTGACCCTGTACCTCACAGTCAGCAGACACATTCCAGCCAATCAGCAGCAGACCCTCCCTCCCAGACCCTCCCACCTCCTGGACAGCTCACTAAGAATGCAGCTACACAATGAATGTAAAATGGCTGCTGTCCAGGAAGTGGGAGGGTCTGGGAGGGAGGGTCTGCTGCTGATTGGCTGGAATGTGTCTGCTGATTGTGAGGTACAGGGTCAAAGTTTACTCAATGATGACATAGGGGGCGGACCGAACAGCGCATATGTTCGCCATCCGTGGCGAACCGTTCGGCGAACCGTTAGGGACATCACTAATGAACATCTAAAAACACATGGATTTCAAGATCAGAGACAATATGGGTTTACTTCAGGGAGATCATGCCAAACTAATCTTATTGATTTTATTGATTGGGTAACTAAAATTATAGATCAGGGTGGTGCAGTAGACATTGCTTACCTAGATTTCAGTAAGGCTTTTGACACTGTTGCACATAGAAGGCTTATCAATAAACTGCAATCTTTAAGTTTGGATTCCAATATTGTTGAATGGGTAAGGCAGTGGCTGACTGACAGGCAACAGAGGGCTGTAGTTAATGGAATATATTCAAAGCTTGGACTTGTCACCAGTGGGGTACCTCAGGGATCTGTACTTGGACCCATTCTCTTTAATATTTTTATTAGTGATATTGCAGAAGGTCTTGATAAGTAAGGTAAAGTATGTCTTTTTGCTGATGATACTAAGATATGTAACAGGGTTAATGTTCCAGGAGGGATAAGCCAAATGGCAAATGATTTAGGTAAAGTAGAAAAATTGTCAGAATTGTGGCAACTGACATTTAATGTGGATAAGTGCAAGATAATGCATCTTGGACGTAAAAACCCAAGGGCAGAGTACAGAATATTTGATAGAGTCCTAACCTCAACATATGAGGAAAGGGATTTAGGGGTGATTATTTCTGATGACTTAAAGGTAGGCAGACAATGTAATAGAGCAGCAGGAAATGCTAGCAGAATGCTTGGTTGTATAGGGAGAGGTATTAGCAGTAGAAAGAGGGAAGTGCTCATGCCATTGTACAGAACACTGGTGAGACCTCACTTGGAGTATTGTACACAGTACTGAAGACCGTATCTTCAGAAGGATATTGATACCTTAGAGAGGGTTCAGAGAAGGGCTACTAAACTGGTTCATGGATTGCGGGATAAAACTTACCAGGAAAGGTTAAAGGATCTTAACATGTATAGCTTGGAGGAAAGACGAGACAGGGGGGATATGATAGAAACATTTAAATATATAAAGGGAATCAACACAGTAAAGGAGGAGACTATATTTAAAAGAAGAAAAACCACCACAACAAGAGGACATAGTCTAAAATTAGAGGGAGAAAGGTTTAAAAATAATATCAGGAAGTATTACTTTACTGAGAGGGTAGTGGATACATGGAATAGCCTTCCAGCTGAAGTGGTAGAGGTTAACACAGTAAAGGAGTTTAAGCATGCGTGGGATAGGCATAAGGCTATCCTAACTATAAGATAAGGCTAGGGACTATTGAAAGTATTTAGAAAATTGGGCAGACTAGATGGGCCGAATGGTTCTTATCTGCCGTCACATTCTATGTTTCTATGTTTCTACCTTACATTGTGCTGGCCCGGCATGGATCTGCATGCTTCTTGGCCTCGGCATGCCTCTTGGCCTCGGCTCATGGCCATCACAGCCTACTGAGCATTTCCCCAGTTAGCCTGATGGCCGGTTTCGGCCTGTTTGCATTTGATTGTCTGTCCCCCAAGGTTCATTTGGTTCTGGAGAGGATGTGTGTTGTCTTCTTATCTTTCCCAATTTCCCTCTCTCTCTTCCTCTACAGCCATTTTGCTGTGAGATCTTCATATGCCCTGCCCTGACTTCTACATGCTGCTGTTGTGCCAATACTCTGCAAAATATCAACTTTTAGGTTATTTGCTAGAGAAGAAAAACAAGGATGGCCACATGCACTGGGACTGTGGATGTTATGGAAATTGTTGTGCCTTTTCTCACATCTCCAAATCACCAAATTGCTACAAAGTATGGAGGTTCTGAATGCAGAATAAGTTAATGAGAAAGGATCTCTCGGACATAGTGGGAGTGTCCCCACCAGCAGCTGATGAAGAATTAATCCAGTGGTATAACAAAAAGAGAAAATTCACTAAACTGATAATTGTCAGGAATTCAACATGAATTTTAAAGTTATAGTCCAATTAGTCAGTCATTTTGCTTTTTTAGCCTTAAATTTCACATTAAGTTCCCTATGAATTCCCAACAATTTTAATACTGCCTAGGAGTTATAGGAAGGCTGGAAGTAGCTGTCTAAATGGAAGACTTTATTTATCAAGAAAACTGGTCAATATGAAGCTGTCTAAGGGAGAAATACCTAGAACAGCATTAACTGAATTACTTGATCAGTTCAAGTCTTCTGGAAGGGAATTTTACGAAGAAGACAAAGTGATACTGATTTTATCAAGTCTTTCAGTAAGCTACAATTCAGTAATTCATGCACTGGAACCTAGAGAGAATATTTGTGTAAAATATATTACAGCATGTCTTAAAAAGTCGGTAAGCAGAGCTGAGAAGCCAGGAAGTGGTAAAACACAAACATTAGACTTTGAGACTTTCTAATTTACAGAGTAAAGGTTTGGCACGAGGAAAAGACAACACCTTGTCAAAAGGATAACAACAGGGAAACATGTTATTGTTGTCTAATAAGGAAGGCCCCTTATTCCGAGAGTCAAAAAAAAAAAGAAAGAAAAATAGTACAGCCTCTGCATTTCATTAACTCAGATATATGTGATCTAATACTGCCCATTTCTTGTGGGCAATAAGTAACATTTATTGATGATTATTCTAAAAACTGCAGGTCTATTTCATGAATCCATGAAAGACAAAGCAGAAACTGCAGAGTAGTTGACGCTTTATGTTACAAATGTTGAGAGCCAGTTTGGGAAAAAACCTCAAGTATTTCTAGCAGTCAGTGGTGGTAAGTACACGTGACACCTCATTACAGCATATATAAAGGGATTCTATAGTGTTAGGAAAACAAATCTGCATTCCTAAGATTATAGTGCCCTCTGGACCCCCCTCATTCATGCCAACACCAGCACATAAGGGGTTAAAAAAGTCACTTACTCGATTCCAGAGCTGATGTCCCTGAGAGCTTGGTGAGTGCTCTGCCTCCTCTGACATCATTTGATGAGGGGGATCTAATGTGCATGCACGGCGAGTGCATTTGGCCGTCCCCATAGAAATCATTGCCTGAGGACGTTCAGCATCATTTAATGGAGCTAAACTCTGTTAGAGTCCAGGAATCGTCACCAGACAGTCATCAGAGACAGTCTTAGTCCTGTAAAGTAATCATTGCAGTTTCTCAAAAACTGTAATGTTTTACACTGCTGTAGAGACAGGGTCACTGCACCCGCACCACTTCAATGAGCTGAAGTGTTCAGGGAGCCCTTTAAAAGAAAAAGGAATAGAACACTTGAAAACAGTATCATACAGTCCAGAACAGAATGGTGTATCTGAAATAAATAATCACTCTTCAATGGAGATGGTCAGGTGCACGCTGACAGATTCACAGTTGCCACATAAACACTGTGTTGATGCAGTTATATCAGCTACATATCTTCAAAACAGACAATCTACAAAAGCTACAAATAAAACTCCATTTGAACATTGGTTTGGCTGATCCCCTAACATTAAATATATCATAGCTTTGGGATCATAAATAGTTTGAACTTGACAACAGCAAGATAGGCATTATGACCGAATACAAGAGAGAATGTAATGGCTACAGAATCCTGAAACCAGGAGAAGTAAAAATGAGAAGTGTTGTTTATTTTAAAGAACCAGCAATAAGTGATTTTAATCTTAAATAAAATGGAGAAACACACACTAATTTATAGGAGCTGCTTGTGCAATAGCCAGGCAGAAGCGGTCTACTATGCTTACAGAATTCACAGGCTGAGGCCTTAGCAACACATGACTACACTTAAGAGAGTCAATGCTTTCCTGTAAGGCTTCTGCTTCATGTGGCCATGTTTTACTTGGTCTGTGTCACGAAGGTGCCTCTACTAGAGGAGAAGTTAACCTTGCAATGTCAACATTGAAGCTTCTCAAAAACGGCAGTGTTTTACATTGCAGGGTTAGAGGACAACTAGCTAACCCAACTCCAATAAGCTACTGGAACTCCCCATGCCCCCGCCTCACAGTGACAATAATCGTCTGGGTATTTATGGAGGGTTCCTGGACTTCGTCCATAGAGATAAAGTGGTCTGGGTGATTTCATGGAGATGAAGTGGTCTGGGTGACTATGGTGTTCCTCTAGTGATCTTGCTGAACCAGATATTTCTGATCAAGCTGAAAAACTTTAGAACTTCTAGATGCTCATTTATCCTGTCCTGCCTTGCAATATCATCGTCAATATATAAACCCTCATCTTGGAGTGATGTTGATAAACTTCCTAATAAGTAAGAAGTAAGTAAAAAAAACCGCAAAAGAAGGAATCCTTAAAAAAAAAAAATAAAACATGAATTTTCACTGAGTTACCTAAAGGTATAAAAGCCATAGTTTTCAAGTCGGTATTCAAACTAAAACTGGATGCAGATGCAAAATGTTACAAAGCTAGACTAGCAGGGAATAGATATACTCAGAAGTATGCAGGAGATTGTTACCTTTACACCTGTAGTCAAGTTTTGTACAATTAGAACATTACTAACTGTTTCAGCATCTAAACACTTTCATGTAGGGCAGCTAGATGTAAAGTCAGCTTTATTGAATGGTACAATAGATGAAGAACTTTGCATGATGGATCCTGAACGACTCGAAACAAATAAAGATCTACAGGAAGGAATATATGGATTTGAACAAGCTACAAGAGCATTGTATGAGACATGTGAAATTGCCCACAAACAAAACATCATTCAGAGTAGAGCAGACCTATATATATTTACTAAACAAATACATTGAAAATAAACTTATTTACCAGTTTATGTATATGACCTTGTGCAGTTAAAGACAGCAGGACTTTACAAGATTGTTACATAACTGAACAAAGAAGTAGATGTCAAAAGAATGGGAAACAGTCTTTTATCTAGAAAGGCAAGTAGAAAGAGATAACGATAGTTATCTTTTCAGACAAAGGCACAAAATTCTAGATTTAACAGAATTCTCAAGC